CACCCTTTATGGTGCAATTGAGTATTTGTGTTGCACGTAATTGCAGTCAGCGGTGATAAATGTAAGGAAGAGCCGAGTACGAGTAAAACAACTGCCTACGCTGTACTTAACAAATATTGGATGAGTGCATAAGTTCGTGCCCGATTTCAAGTGCAAACTAAAATTGGTGTTCGGCAATCCACTCCCAACGTTCAACCAATTTACAGATGCCTGATGCATAGAAATCGCGCGGTTTCTCGTTGAAAAAGGTGTCAAGGTGGTTTTTGACGTCTTCCACATTTTTAAATTTTTTTCCATTCAAATTGTTCTGCAGTGATCGAAACAAATGATAATCAGAAGGTGCAATGTCGGGTGAATATGGGAGATGCGGCATGATTTCCCAATTCATCTCCTTCAGTTTGGCCAGGGTCGGTTTTGCAACATGTGGCCTGGCGTTGTCATGATGGAAAAGAACTCCTTTGCGATTGGCCACAATCGGACGTTTTTCATCAATTGCTTTCTTCAATTCGACCAATTGCTGACAATACTTGTTGGCAGTGATCCTTTCTCCAGCTGGAATGCCAACTGAGCTCAAAATAGATAACGCCTTGGATATCTCACAAAATGCACAGCAGTACCTTCATCGGATGCAATCCACCTTTCGACATCGGTTCCGCCCCTTCGTGTGCCTGTTTCCATGTTCTTTTGCGTTGAACATTGTTATACATCACCAGTCACGAGCCGATCCAAAAAATTCACTAGCAACCTCTTCCGTCGAAATACGTAGTTATTCGCAACTAAAGTCCTTAGAATATGGTCATCAAGCTCAGAAGGCCGTCCACTGCGAGGTTAATCTTCGAGGTTAAAATCTCCAGAACGAAATTTCGCGAACCATTTTTTTACTGTGCGGAGCGCTGGAGCACGGTCCAACTAAGCTTCGCGAATATCTTTAGTTGCAGCGCCTACTGTTTTTCCTTTGCGGATTCGTATAACATAATATGACGCATATGATCTTTTTCGTTGTCCATCTTCCATGCGTATTTTCACTAAGCAAATCAAGTCAAAATGAAGTTATTTTATGCTTGATTTAAAGTTCGGACTGTCGCCATTCCAAAGATATATAATATGTATATATTTCTTTCACGAGCGTCATTCTAAAACGATTCGAACGGCATCCAGCGGAATCGGGCAGGAACTTATGCACTCATCCAATAATTAAACAAGAAAGAAGAGCTGTCTTTGGCCATGCTGACGTCCCTATACCTCTTATGGTCATATGAAATTTATTGCAATTCGATGAACCCAATTTTCGAGCATTTTTTCCACCAAATCAAGTTGTATGTCATGAATAGTATGTCCAACATTGGCTTCTAAAGCTAGACGAGAGTCTGATTTTTTGCTTTAGACCAATGACTGCAAATCCGTCGCGATCGGGAAGGACCTCTCCGAGTCCTTCGATAACAAACTATGTTTCAGGCAGAATTATTCCTAATCCTCTGACTTATTGCTGGAGAAAATAATACGAGCTGCAGAGCTGAATAGAGAAGGTACAATCTTCTATAAGAGTGTACAGCTGCACGCTGCTTTCTCCAGACCAAATAATTAAGCTAAGGATATGCGTCTGCTCTGAGTTGGCCTGGTAGTGAACGTGGGCAGGACAAAATATCTCCTAACATCAAACAACCAGTCATCGCACTCGCGATTCGGCTCTCACGTCACTGTTGACCGTCATAACTTCGAGGTCGCAGATAATTTCGTCAATCGAACCAGCATCAGCTGAAAATCCAACGCATAATCACTCTTGCCAACAGATGCTACTTTGGACTGAGTAGGCAATTGAAAAGTAAAGTTCTTGCCCGACGAAAGAAACCCAAACTCTGCGAGTCCCTCATCAATGCCACCCTGCTATATGGTGTGAAAGCATTGCCGATGACAACATCTGATGAGTCGGCGTTAGGAGTTTTCGGAAGAAAAATTTTTGGTAAAATTTATTGTCCTCTATGAGTTGGTAACGACGGATATCACAGATGATGAGCTGTATGAGATATACGACGAAATTGACATAGTTCAGCGAATCAAGTCACATCGGCTACGCTGGCTAGGTCATGTGATCCGGGTGAACAAGAATACTCCAGCTCGGAAAGTTTCAATGCAGTACCTGCCGGTGGAAGCGGAGGAAGAGGAAGACCTGCACTCCGTTGAAAAGATCAGGTAGAGAGGGACCTGGCTCTTCTTGGTATCTCCAATTGGCTCCAAGCAGCGAGAAAAAGAAGTTAATGGCGCGATATTTTAAGTTCGGCTAAAATCGCGTAAGCGGTGACTACGCCAGTAAAGTAAGTAAGTAAGTTCTTGCTTGTCAAATATGCTACAGGAAGAGCAGGCTACTCAAAATAGCATCTCTTATTGGCGAAACTATTTACTATTTCACGTAAAAAAAAATCATACACACATAAGGAAGACCGGGTTTGGCTGAAAGAGCAGCTTAAGTTGGTTGCTTTGATTGGAAGTGTAAAAAATATGTTTCGAGAAAATGTAGAAGGATCCAGCGCGCAGCGGTTTAAATTGTGCTCACAGTGGAGATTAATTCCCGAAAGCTTTCTAGCTACGGAAAAGTTATTTTTTTTTAGCTAATGAATGAATGATTTTTTTTTTTCATATCAGAAGAAAAAAAAATATGGTGAACATGGGTTTTCTACAATTTTTATTTATTTACGGTTTACATTTTATTTTAAATATTAGGTTGTCAAATATCCGCTTTTTTGTCTTTTGAATTTCGCGGCTATGTACAAAGCGCTACAGAACAACGCTATGCATGATTAGTTTGGATATTGCGTTCAACAGTTATAGACGTGTAAACATGGAGTTCGCTAACGCCGAAATTCGCGCTATTTTAAAGTTTTCCTTCGTTAAAGGCAAATCCGCTAGAGAAACGTTCCGTGAGATTAATGGTGTTTTGGGGGATGGTACTCTATCACTTCGAACCACGGAGGAATGGTTTCGACGATTCAGAGCCGGTGAAAACGACACCATGGATAAGCCAGCCGGCGGAAGACCTGCGACGACAAATACCGATCAAATCATGGGAAACATCGAGTTAGACCGGCATATGGCATCTCATGACATCGCCCAGGAGATGGGAGTTAGTCACCAAACCATTTTGAACCATCTGCAGAAGGCTGGATACAAAAAAAGTTTGATGTTTGGGTGCCGCATAATTTGACGCCAAAAAACCTTCTGGACCGAATCAACGCCTGCGATATGCTGCTGAAACGGAACGAACTCGACCCATTCTTGAAGCGGATGGTAACTGGCGACGAAAAATGGATCACATACGACAATATCAAGCGAAAACTGTCGTGGTCGTCCCAAACAGTGGCCAAGCCGGGATTGACGGCTAGGAAGGTTTTGCTGTGTGTTTGGTGGGATTGGAAGGGAATCATCCACTATGAGCTGCTCCCATATGGCCAGACGCTTTATTCTACCATCTACTGCGAACAACTGGACCGCTTGAAGCAGGCGATCGACCAGAAGCGTCCAGAATTGGCCAACAGGAAGGGTGTAGTGTTCCACCAGGACAACGCCAGATCACACACTTCGTTTATGACTAGTGAGAAGCTACGGGAGCTCGGATTGGAGGTTTTATCGCATCCAACATATAGCCCGGACGTAGCGCCAAGTGATTACCACCTTTTTATAAAGCATTGAATGAAGAGCAAAAAAGCGGAAGGGAGATATATATATGAACTGCTTCTTCAGCATCTTTATCGTGTTCAAGTTCGTAATAATCTTCGCTTAAATTGTCATCTTCGCCTTCATCATTATCAACTTCATTATTATTGCCACTCACGATCAGGATCATCTCTAAGGCTTTTTCCGGTAAATTCTGCACTTCTCTTATGGTCATTTTCTTCTGCTCGATATAACGGCGTCAGAAGTGATTAATGGTCTGAAGTTGAGTAAATCTTCATTTGCTTTTTTCTGCAACATTTGGGAGAAAAATGTTCTCTAAAAGTCTTATAATCTGTTTCGAGCTTCCTGAACTTCTTCTGATAATTGTCCGATTGGCATATATATGTATTGGATAATATATGTATATATATATATATTTAAAGTGAATAAAGAAAAAGAGTGAATTCATGCAAAATAATAAACTTAAAAAACTTGTTAAAAATTATTTAAATGGCTATGAAGCCAACTTACCCTTTTGTGCCATAAAATTTCAAAATTTACTTTCTAAGCTTAATGGCGTAGCTTTATTGAATGAAATTTTCTACAAATGCTTTAAATGACAAGTTGCAGACAAACCGAAAAAAAAAACAAAAAACAAAAAACACAAATCACCATGCGTGTGTGCGCTGTCACATTGTATTTATTATTGTGTATGAGTTTATTTCTAACAATTTCATTCAGGAACTGCAGTATGCGTAATAAGCCAATACCGCAAAGTTATGTGAACGCATCGACGCGTAATGTTGCACCAATAAGTACAGCTGCGACAGCAACAGCAACAGCAACAGCAGCAGCAGCCACACAACGCTCGTCCAAGTGTCACCGCATTTACGAGCTATAAACGCATAGATCAAACGATGCACAAATGTTGAATACATATGTATATATGTATACATTTTATGTATATATATATATGTGCATATCTCTCGCCAAGCACTTTGAACGCTTGTCACGCTGGCAAAGAGACAGAGATTTTCCTTTTCTTTTGCATTAACCCATTTTTCGCCGCCAAAGCTCAACTAAGAAAGTGCTCGCAAAGCAACAGAAAACTTTTATTTATTATTATGTGTATGTCTGTGTGTTTGAGCGTGAGTGTGAGTGAGCGTAATGTTGGCGCTGTACGCAGCATAATGCAATGAAAAATTTGAAAAACTCAAAAAAACAGTCTAGCTCAGCGTGGCGCGCGCATTTAGTTTGCTGTTTGCCTTGCTCGCGTGTGGTTGGAGGAAATTCTGAAAAGAAAAAAAAGCAAAAATTAAATCAAATGTAAAACTTTGTAGAATTTTAAATAGTTTTTTTTTCTGTTCTTGTTGGTTACAAACATATCTACATATTATATTGGCATATTTGTATATGAATTTAGAAAAGAAGTGACGGCAGTGAGAACGCCTAATTCCAACAGGTTGATAATCCAAAAAAATGATAAAATATTTAATGATTTTAATAAAAATTTTTTAAAATAAATTGCAAAACAATACAAAAAATAAATGGTAGAAAATTTAAAAACAAAATATTTAAAAATCTTAAAAAACTGGCTTTCTATAATAATCGTCGGAGCAGTGTGTGTGGCGTATGAGTAACGTCATTTTAAATACGAAAATTATGTACAAAAGTATAAGTGCAGACAGACTTAGCAATTTTTATTTCCTCTACGCATTATGCTATCAAAAAATTTCAATATCGAAACTAGTTGCTGCAATTTAATTTCAGAAAATTGCGGTAATAAAAGTTGCAGTCATTTATTTGCAATTTAATTTCTAAAATTAAATTTCCAATTGCTCGTGCCGCACTAGCAATTTTATTTCGCAAGAAATTGCTGTGAAAGGCCTTTAAGTATTTTCGAAGAAAATTTTTTTAATAAATTTTTGTGAAATTTCCATTAATGGAATTTAAATTTTCTTGAAATTTTTTTATGCAACGTCTGACTTCCGTTGAAAATAAATTCGGTACTTTTTCATTTTGTCATGCAAATTGAAGTGAATTAATTGCTACGTCTGACGGCATCTTAACGATCTAAATTTATCTAGTTTTATAAAAAGTGTCGCGGTCATTGCCAAATCGTTCAAAAATTGCTATGCGTTTAATAATGTCGAAATTTCAAGGTTTTTGCTGAATTCAAAGAAAAGATAAATAAATAAATAAATGACAAGTTCAAATAAAATAGGTTTTCCAAAAAAATAATCCAAAGCAAAAAAAAAAAAAAAAAAATATAAACAAAAATCAAAACATAATTTTTTTTTTTTTGGCACTGTGCGGCATGTGAGTCACTTGTTATTATTTCCCCGCAACAAATTAGACTGCACGTAAATAAAAAATAGAAATGAAATAGAAAAACAAACTACTCGTACATAATGAGGTTTTGCGGACATTGTCATGCGCGAATGTGCCGAATTGCAATTAATTAACATACACATATGGACAAGTTGATGTAAATGAAACTTTTGAAAATTTTGAAAATGTTTGAAAAGTATTCAAAATACTTCGCATCTACATATTTTTCATTACAGCTACACAAGAATATGCTTGTTTACAAACATGCGTCGGTGGTAAATTATTGCTGGTCCAAATACATATGTACATATGTATTGTATATACAATAAATAGGCAACATTTTTCCAATTGAAAATCGTAGGCCCAGCAGAAGCAACATTTTCCTTTTACCGAATATTCATGTTCAATGTTTAGGCAAACATATGTATGTATGTACATTTGCCTGCGTACACAAATTTATATACAAATCTGTATCTCTATGTACAAACATCAAATTCATGTAAACGAAATATTGCCTTTAAGATCTATAAATTTTGCTTTTGTGGCCTAAATCAAGTGCAAGTTGCTCACACACAGATATAAATAATTTTATATGATAATACACATGCATATATTGTTTGATTGGGCCAAACAAATCTACTTCTCAATGCAGTCAAGTGTATAAATTTTCTGTGTTTATTATTTTTTTGTTATTTTTTTTTGTATTTTAATTATAGTTTTGGTCTGGATGTTCTGATTTTCATTCGTAATATTTGGTATTGAAAAAAGTGGTTTGATTGTGCGTTGCTGTTAGATTTTGGAAATTAGAATTATAAATAAAGTAAAAAAGATCTGTAAATAAACGAGTTGCTAGCGTTGCGTCTTGCCATCCGAAAGGCCAGAGTTCGAGTCCTGATCCGACCAACATTCAGAATTATGCAACAGAAAATTAATTTTTGTAATTGCACTCGCCCCTCGACTGGGATTGTAAGACCCTCTGAGTGTACTTATGACATGAAATAAAATCTCCGCATGAAAATTTATCGGTTATTTGGAGGTGGCATAGAATAAATTGCTGGTTCCCCATTTGTTGGTAGAATATCAAGGCGCACAACTCAATCTGAAGGAGGAGCTCTGCCGAAAATCGCTCAAGTCGCGAGATTATCCGCTCACCAAAAGTATCCTGCAATACATTGATTGTTCCCCATATATTCGTTGGCTGTATGGCATGTTGCATCCAAAGCTCGTCTACATAGACATCCTTTAATTCAGACATGAAAAAGTCATGAAACATGGCTGTACAGCGTTTCTCATTGACTTTCACGTTGTGGTCGGCTTCATTTAAGAAGAAGTACGGACTAATGATGCCATTTGCCCATAGGTTGGATTATCATCACTCCAAATGCGACAATTTTGTGTATTCACGTACCAATTTAATCAAAAATCAGCTTCATCACCGAACAAAAATTTCTTGTGAGAATCGGAATTGGTGGCCATCTCCATTTGGGCCCATTCACCGAACTTGGGACGTGCTTGAAAGTCATTCGGCTTCAATTCCTGCATGATTTGGATTTTGCTAGCCCGCAAAATCTTACATAAAGTGGATGGGCACACTTCCTATTTTTGCGTCAGTGTTAACTAAATGTAAAATAATGAAATGAAATCGTAAAAAGATCTTTTCTTTTAACGCTGCTAAGTCAGAGGAGAGTGCATATATTCTAGTTTTCGGGTTGGATAAGAGACTGAACTGGAAATTAAGTAGTGAATTATTACGAGAATTCCTCCATCGCCTACCATACCCTCTAAAAGCTTTGGGTTTAAGCTCCAAGAGCTCTCACTGGTCTTATAGTTAGTCTTAGTTCTGGCAAAAACAATCCATAATTTTTTAAATTTTCTCCCCTATCACCGAACAAAATTTGGTCCATTTTTGCCATTTGTGTCTCACTCATTTGCCTACTGGCGAACAATTGGGATAATCGATTTACAGGCTTCTCTTTAGGCCGATTCTTCATCAGCCAAATTACTCGTCATGGACAAGAACAGTTGGTAATCATTCAAAGCGAGGTCTGGTCTATAAGGTGGATTCAGAGTAGCTGCTAACCAAATTCTCTGAGCCGAATTTACTGAGCCTCTGGCGTGTTACTATGGATGCGTGGTCTGGCGTTGCCGTGATGAATCAAACTTCCCTTACTGTTAGTCAAATCTGAGCGCTTCCGGCTCCTTCGGACGGTCCAACTGCTTGCAGCATAGGTCCGAATTAAGTTTTGGTGGGATTAGCTGGTAGATGAATATTAGTGGATCCTCCCAAATACACGAACAAAAACTTTATGGCCCTAAATCCTGGCTTGGAGACCGTTTGTGCAGGGTCACTACCATTTCCGCTTAACGTTGATGTAAGTGATCGGTTTGTCTTCACCAGTCACCGTCCGCTTCAGAAATGGTTCGATTTTGTTACGATTTAGCAGCGATTCGCAGATGGAAATTCACTTTATTAGGTTTTTTCTCGTAAACTTTTGTGACATTACTCAGTTGCACTTCTCGGGCTATCTTGTTTGGTAGAAAATATATTCTTTCTAACGCCATCCAGCGTAATCGTACTTATAGAAACTGGGTTACAGACCACTAAAGCCATATATTGCTTAAATAATGGACCCATATTTTGTTAGTGTAAACATATTTGAAAAATTTAATATCTGCAATTTACACCGACACTAATCGCTCCCTATACAGGGTACCCCTTTATTGCAGTCTGGTGAGATCAACGCTGGCTTATGAGAAATTTACGAAGTTCATTTTTCAACTGATTCTTTTTCACTTTCCTCGTAGATTTCTCCATTTCAAAAACTATTATATTCTCTTACGTGGCTTCACTAATTTTTTCAATTCTCTTAATTAGCAGATTATTATCATCGTTCCGCAGAGAGTATGATGCTCTAATGTTCATTTCGAATTAAATTTCTCTACAGTTACATTTATCGAATTTTTACGGATCTTTTAGTTATTGTCTACTTCTAGTATATAAGGTTCTGTTACTATATACATATGTATGTACATAATTATACAGACTTAATGAAAAGAATACGTATGAATACGTATATCAAAAACATCCTCGACTCTATCCAAATACGCGATTTTGGAATTTGACCTTTGATGGAAAGTGACAGATATTATTGCAATCTTTCTACGCAATGCGATTCGCCCACAAATATTATAAACTGCAAATAAGCAACAATATTTGTTGCCAAAGCAATAAAACGTTGATCGTTTCCATAAGTATTGCATGCAGACTCGTATGTGGGAATGAGTAAAATAATGCTGCAATTAAATATCAAACTGGTCTGAAGTGGAAGTACACTGGTCCGGATATTATTCAACTGGTACTGATTACGAAACTAGTTTAAAAAATTGACTGCCATAGCAGCCGCATAGTTAGGTTTCGAAAAAAAAAAAACATTGGAGCCCTCCATTAGATGTAACAAACATCAACATTAAACACGCGCACCTCGCATTGGGGAAGAAGCTCGACCGAAAATCGCTTCTGTGATTATAAAGCGACAAAAATAGACCCAAACAACAACTAAAAATTGATAAATGATAAGTAAAGTTCATGTTCCTATGAACATCAAGCGATGACCCTGATATATGATTTTGTGGATAAGAGCACCCAAATTCGTTCTGTGTTTTCTTAAAAAGTCTTTCTAACAGTAATTCCACTCTGAAGTTGTAATTCCTTTATACGCTTTCAACTAATTTTAAAGGAGGATTTTGATCGTAACAATCCATCTGATCTTTCATGAGACATGAACCAACCACCGATCTCTTGATTTACTGAACTATGTCGCCATATACCTTACATAACTGATCGTTTCAAGGAGTTTTACACAAAACTTTCTCTAAAAAAACTTCCAATCCTGACTCATCACTTGTTGGCAAAAGTGAATTTGCATTGAGTTTGAAAGCTTATATTGTTTTTAGTGTCAATGCTGGTTTCAAGATAGTCGAAGTTATTTACGACTTGAAGGTTATGACTTCCAACAGTGGCGTGGGAGATTAGTAGCAAATGGGTTGACGTCTTGCGCTCTTTCACTACCAGACCCATACCCTTCGCTTCCTTATCCAGTCTGGAGAAAGCAGACCCACGGCGTACGCTAT